AGTGATAATGGAAGTTTGAAGTGGACTATGATCCCATGGTTTTTTTCGCATTAGGTTTTCCACGTAAAAATTTCAGTGTCTCACTTTGCAACTGATTTATTTTTTTACTATTTATTCTGCTCTGGCTAATATTTGTTTTTGATAACAAGTTAGTATTTTGATACATAAAGAGGGAAAAGAATTATTCCGCTATAATACTTTTTCCTAACAAGTGGTATCAGAGCAATAAGTTATTTGATGCTAGTTTTTTTCTTGTGTGATTGAAATGGAATAGTCAGATGGTATGGTTAAATTGAACTTATCAAATTCTTCCACTTGGCGACGTATGATGGAAGATTTGCTCTATTGCAAAGATTTGTATAAGTCCAAGGTTAAAGATAAACCTTCTACTATGGAAAATAAGGAATGAGAAGTTCAACATAGAAAAGCTATTGGCTATATTAGAAGATGGATGTACATAAATTTGCATGAGCATATTTTTAATGAAACCAGAACTGATATTATTTGGCAAAAGTTAGAAAACTTTTTTGTGAAAAAGATAATGGGAAATAGAATTTCTCTCCTCAAAAGACTTATAAATTTGAAGTATAAAGATGATGATAACATTGTTGAGCACATAAATCTATTTCAGAGTCTTGTAAACAAGTTGGTTGCTATGAAAATGAATATAGATTATGAGATACAAGAATTATTACTTCTCAACTCTTTACTAGAAACTTTTTACTAGAAAGTTGAGAAATGTATGTGGAGACAATTTGTAACTTTATGCTAAAGGGGACTCTAACTATAGATATGGTTAAATAAGATATCAAAAGGAAAGAACAAGGAGAATCTTCTTCTAATGCATTTGTTACTGAAAAATAAAAAAGACATAGAAGAAGTCATAGTAGAAATCTACATGATTATAGAGGAATATTCAAAGTCTAGAAGATATATCAAATGTTTCTATTATAATAGGTCAAGTCATATGAAGAAAGAGCGTAGATTTTGGAAGCAAGAATATAATGAAAGAAAGAAAAATGAGAAAGAGACCAATACAGTTACTACTGAAGGTGATATCATTATTATTTGTGATAACGGTTGTATAAGTCTCGCAGCTCAGAATAATAACTGGGTAATTGACTTTGGTGCTTCATTTCACGTTACTTCTCATGATAACTTCTTCAGATCTTACACTGCTGGTGATTTTAGTAATGTCAAAATGAGAAACAGTGGTACATCTAAGATTGTGGGTATTGAAGATATTTGCTTGAAGATCAGTATTAGGAGCAAATTGATACTCAAAGTTGTCATATATGTTTCATATATTCGTCTTAACTTAATATTTACAGACAGACTTGATGATGAGGGATTTACACACTATTTTGGTGAAAGCAAATGAAAACTCACTAAAAGTTCACTAATTGTGGTGAGAGGAAAGAAGCTAAACTCTTTTTATGTTATGGAAACTAAGCTACACAAAAAATAGATTAATGCAATTCAGAAGTGTGAAAGTATAGATCTTTTGCACAAGAGGCTTAGTTATATTAGCAAGAATGGACTTCAAACTTTTGCTAGAAAGCAGTTTTTACCAGAGTTGTAAGATACATCTCTTAAATCTTGTGATCATTACTTAGCTAAAAAAACACATAGAGCTGTCGTTCATACATATCCATATCTAGAAGATCAGATGTTAATGATTTGATTCATATTGATGTTTGTACTATGCAAACTAGAACTCTTGGAAGTGCTCTTTATTTTGTTACTTTTATATATGAACATTCTAAAAAAGTTTGGGTTTTTGCTTTGAAATCTAAAGATCAGGTACTCGATGTTTTCAAAGAGTTTTGTGTCAGTGTTGAAAGAGAAATTGACAGAAAGCTAAAGTGTGTTCGAGCAGATAATGGTGATGAGTACAAAGGTCATTTTAAGAATTATTGCAGGTTCTATAATATCAGGCTTATGCAAACAGTTCTTAAAACTCCTCAGCAGAACGGTGTGGCAGAAAGGATGAATAGAACTATTGAAGAAAGGATTCGATGTATGCTTTCCCACGCTAAGTTACCTAAGTCATTTTAGGGGGAGGCTATGGGAACTACAATTACCCTGATAAATCTTTCTTCATTAGTTCCTTTAAAAGGTGGTGTTTCAGAGAGAGTATGGAAAGGAAATGATTTATCTTATAATCAATTAAGAGTTTTTTGGTGTCAAACATTTGTTCATATTCCCAAAGATGAGAGGCCCAAGCTTAATAATAAGGTAAAAGTATGTATCTTCTTGGGGTATAATCATGAAGAGTTTGGGTAAAAATTATAGGATCCAATGAATAAGAAGATTATTAGAAGCAGAGATATTGTATTTCTTGAAGATCAATTGTTTGATGATAATGATAATGTTGAGAAGCCAAAAACCTCTATTTACATTCCTTGGAATTTAAGTCCAGCTCACCTGTAGTTCATGATGGTTATGGGAGAGATGAACAAGAAGATTGTGGTGAGAATGTTAATGATGGTGCTCCTACAGTTGATGATGTTGAACTAACTGAACAAGTACCTCCACTACCAACTGAGATTTCATTGAGAAGATCCACGAGAGTGATAACCATCTACCAGATATCCTCCACATGAGTATGTTACTGATGGTAGAGAGAGCTAGAAACTTACTAAAAAGATATTCTACATGAGTATAAGAATGAGTGAGTTAAAGCCATGCAAAAAGAAATAAGATCCTTGCTTGAGAACCACACTTATGACTCGATAAAGTTGCCTAAAGAAAAGAAAGTTTTTAAGAATAAATGAGTTTACAAATTGAAGACTGAAAATAATAGCTCACAATAAAGATATAAGGACTAGTTGTGAAAGGATTCAATCAGAAAAAAAGTATTAACTTTGAAAAAATATTTTCTCCTACAGTAAAAATATCTTATATTCAAGTTGTTCTTGGTTTGACTACTTGCTTGAATTTAGAAGTTGAGCAACTTGATGTGAAAACAATATTTCTTCATGGTGACTTAGAAGAAAAAATTTACATGGAGTAACCAAAAGGTTTCAAAATCAAGGGAAAAGAAAATCTGGTTTGTAAGCTTAGGAAAAGCTTATATGGACTCAAACAAGCATGTAGACAGTGATACAATAAGTTTGATTCCTTTATGATGAGCCAATGGTATAACAGAACCATATCTGATCATTGTGTGTTTATAAAGAAATTTTTAGATGATTTCATTATTCTTCTACTATATGTTGATGATATGCTGATTGTTGGCCATGATGCTGATAAAATTAAAAAGCTTAAAAGAGAGCTAAGTAAGTCTTTTGTCATAAAAGACTTGGGATTGGTAAAACAAATACTTGGTATGAAGATTCTTCGTGATAGGAAGAAAAGAAAGATCTGACTATCTCAAAAGACCTATATTGAAAAGGTTCTTCAAAGAGTCAACATGAGTAAAGCCAAAACAGTTTGTTCTCCACTTGCAGGTCATTTCAAGCTTAGTTCAAAACAATATCCTATAAGTGAGAAAAAAAAAGAAGAAATGTCCAAAGTGCCTTACTCATCTGCAATAGGTAGTTTGATGTATGCTATGGTTTGTACTAGGCCAGATATAACTTATGCAGTTGAAGTTGTTAGCCGATTTCTCTCTAATCCTGGTAAGGAACATTGGACAATAGTGAAATAGATATTAAAATATCTAAGAGGTACTTCCAAGTTATGTTTATGTTTTGACAGTGATAAACCTGTGCTAGAGAGATACACAAATATAGATATGACAGGTGATATTAATTTCAAGAAGCTCACTTCAGAAATATATAGTAATAAACCTGTTGCTCTATCAACCACAAAAGTAGAATATATAGTAATTATTGAAGCTTGCAAGGAAATTTTGTGGATGAAAAAGTTTCTATAGGAATTGAACTTAAAATAGGAAGGATATACTATTTACTATGACAGTCAAAGTACCATTCACCTCTTCAAGAATTTCATATACCATTCTAGATCCAAGCATATTGATGTTAGATATCATTGGATTCGTAATGCGCTCAAGATGAAAGAATTGCACTTGAAAAAAGTTTATAGCAATAAGAATGGATTAGATATGTTGATAAAGTCTTTGTCTAAGGAGAAGCTTGAAACATATAAATGAAGAGCGGGCTTTGTACAACCCACCATATGAGTTGGAGGGGGATAATTATTGGTCCAGCCCACATGTGGGCAGGATGATTTGGCCACTAAGCCAAAATCTGATTTATTAAAAATAAAAAAAAACTATAGAGACGTGCATCATAAGAGCAGCGAATAGGTGTGCATGCAGCAGCGGCCTGAGAAAGATACAGACAAAACAGGAGAGAAAAAAGTTAAGGTTTTTGAGATTTTTGCTAGATGATTGAGTGGTTAAACTTCGTCGGTTTTAGCTCAAATTTTATGTGAAGAATCCTTGCAATAAGCTCTGCAATCTTAATGGTATTGATCTATAGTTTATCCTCTATAAGGTCTAAGGTACTTTTTCATTATATCCACTTTGTGAGATCTAATATTTTCTTTTAATGAAATCTATGAATGATGATGATATGTTAATGTTGAGCCAAGATCTATGTTCTTGATGTTATTACGATCCTCTTGTTATTCTAGAAAAGATTTATTATAAATATATTATTATTATTGATTATAGTGAAAGTTTGAAGTGGACTATGGTCCCGTGATTTTTTTCGCATTTAATTTTTCATGTAAAAATTTTAGTGTTTCACTTTGTAACTGATTTATTATTCTTAATATTTATTTTGATAATAAATTAATATTTTAATAAAAAATATTTTGATATATAAAAAAAGAAAAGAATTATTTGTTATAATAATATTTTCCAACCGGGAGAGAATCTGTTAGTACTTTGTTCTCTCTGATTGCTCTGATGGCTCAACTATCAGTCATGGCAGGGGAAGTATTGAATGTTTGGAAGCTTCTGATCATTTCGGCACAAAGAATTTCTCACAACCCATTCAAGCGGCACATTGCCCAATCTTTCTGGTGGATTGGCATATGATTTCTTGCTTATCAACTCTCGCAGTAAGGGAAAGGCGACAATGATGAGAAAACGGTAAAAAGAAAATAAAAAAAAGAGAAGTAAAAGAAGACGATTGACAAATACTCGTTGCTTCAAAAGGCATCCACATGTATCTCAATGACTACAAGAGTTTGGTGGAGGCAATTAAAGAAATAAGAAGAGAGAGAAAATCGAAAAGGAGAAATGGGAAACAGCTCCTACGATCCCACCAGTCTTTCTCCACAGGAAATTTAAACCAGACCAAAATCCAGAAAACTAAGACCAAGAAATCACTCCATCAGTTCTCTTCCACCCTCACTAGACAATGAGTCATATATTTCTATGCCATACTTACATCTACACACATTGATTATTGACTAAGGCAAACATATCCAGAGCAAAAGCCATTTACAAACAGAACCATACGGGATCGCCTGCTTTCTTTATGCATATTCACACCAACTCGTAACGGATTAAATCTGCTACTCTTCCTTCAGCATTCGTAATAATTTTGGTTAGGGGGAGAACATAACTTCGGTACTCAATGTTTCATTTTTGTGGTAAGCTTTTGTTTCTTTTTTATTTATTGTCATTAATTACGGTCAGAGGATATGTTTGCCATGCTACGTATGTTTTGAGTAGGATTTAGGAACAACAGCAATCTCTACTAAGGGCGGAGGAGGAGGCGTTGGTGGTCTGAGGGAGAGAGGGAGTGGCGGAAGTGGCACCGGTGGCCGTAAGGACAGGTGCCACCGGAGACGACCATGCGGCAGAGCTCGGTCTTGTAGCGGGGGTGGCGGAGGACAGGGCGGAGCTCGGCTATGCCGTGGGCGAACTGGCAGTGGTCGCTGTAGGGGCACTCCCCGCTCTCCTCCCACTTGTTGCACAGCTCCGTCTTGAACATTCCCTGGTGGTAGACTTCCACCTCCATTGCTCCGCCGCCCCCCTCCCCCCCCTCCTCTTCTTTGTCCTCTCCTCTGCTTCTCTCGCCCTTCTTATTGGTGCTTCCCCCTCCCACGGACACCCGCTGCTGCTTCTTGTTAAGTAAACAAAAGATTAAGTTACATGCTCCCAATCAATCAAAGAGAATTATATTATCGCATAGACGATAACGAAGTAAATATGTATATAGCCAGAAACAACGATTGCCTGGTTCTATCATCATAAATGGATATCAGAAGTTTGCTTAACTATATACAATAAATACGAGTAAAGAGACATCCATGACAATGATCAAACATATAGCACTATTTAAGTACATGAATTACTAAGTTGTTCTTTTTCTTTATGGTTACATATGATTTGCAAGATTGATAAGCTTTGTAGTGTAAAATATGAGATGAGCACTGAGATCTTCTACATAGTACATCAAAATATACTCCGAAATTTTTAGAAGGATCACTAGATCACTGAGCTCTGTTACATGCAATACGATCATGTGAGCCGTCCGATGATTATGATCGGGAGCACTACATTGAGATATGTGTTCTACTTTATTACATCTCACTCCGACAGTTATATAGCATATCTTCAAGTAGTTGCAGAAAAGATAGCAGAGTAAATGCACCAACTCTTACCAACGGCCTAAAAATGTAGAAAGAGACCAAAGTTCTTCACAAGATATTTATGAGGCATGGGGGAATCGTATGCATACCGAGCCGATCATGACGGGGTTGGAAAGGCGAAACCGGCCGTTGCGGTTCGCAGCCGAAGTGGCTCCGCCGCCCGGGTTCAGCTTCAGGTACCCACTGGACCGAATCGAGATGCTCTTAGGCAGCGAGACCCGCTTCTCGACAACCGGCGTCCTCGTAAACTGGCAGCCACTGACGCTTTCCTGGAAGGCGAGCACGCTCGTGGGGCTCTCCTCGGCGGGCGGTGGTTCGGCAACGCTGAGTCCACGGAACTCATCAGCCAGTGCCGCAGCCGTGGATATCGTCACACGACCGCCGTGCTTCCCGGCGAGGAGACAGAGCCGCCTTGTAAGCTCTACATTGGCCGCTCGGAGGCTCGCGTTCTCGCGGCGGAGGGACTCAAGCTCCTCGGCGGCGTCGCGGAGGTGGGAGAGGCAGAGGTCGTAGTTCTCGGTCATCTCCTGGTATTGGAGGGCGAGTCGGGCCAGGTAGAGGCGGTTTTCAGTGGCGGTGGCGGCGGCCTCCACCTCATCGAAGTAAACCGACGAGGGGGATATCGAGACAGAGCCGGAGGCGGGGAGAAGAGGGCTCAAGAGCGCCAAGCTGTCCTCGGGTGAGAAGACGGGGTACGTGCAAGGGAGATCGCCACCACTGTTGAAGTATACGGGGGACTGGGGCCGTCGATCTGGTGAAACGAATGACGGCGATGTGATCGAAGAACCGAGGCGGTCGCCATTGCTGGGAGAAACAACCTCTTGCTGCATCGATCTCTCTGCTAAGGAGACCAACCACAACAACACCAAGAAACTAAGCAACAGGAAATCAAGAAAGAGACCGGAACCCATAAAATCAAGAAACATTTACCATAAAACATCAAATAAACCATTAATTTTGCTCAACATCAAGATCGCATTTCTCGTCAGATCGAAGAAAGAAGAGAAAACGAATACAACAAGAACTCCCCGATCTGCCACAAACCAATTCAAGTGAACTAAATGTGCGCCAAAATCCAAAACCAAAACGACCAACAAGCTACGCGAACGCAGGATCATCGGTTCGTTCATCAAGCTACGCGCAAACGAAGACCAATGTACTGAAATCCTCCAAAACAAAGATAAAATACCCGGCGTAAAGAGACGGATCACATCACCAAGAACTCGGAAGCAGTAACAGAGCTCGAAGAGAGCGATGTCTCACCTTCGTCAAAGGGCGAGAGAAGACAGAGAGGAAACGAGGCGTTTCAAGAAATGTGAAGGGGAAGACAGGAGAATATATAGGGGTGGAGTGTCTAGTGCTGAGGTCGGTGCGAGGGAGACCGGGGTTGCCCGAAACGATCCGCTAACGGAATACGATCTCCTCCTCCGTCTCCCTGAAGACATCACGAACGTGCAGCCGTTACAAAGAACAATAACAGTCGTGCGTATTTATTTATATCGGCAATTCTTATGTTTGCTTTGCGTGGAAGTGTCCGACCTTTTGAGCCACCAGATATCGTCCATCATGCTTGCTTCCCCGTCAAAACTTTAACTAACTCGGGCCCCTCGCTCTCGCAAGAGCAAAACACAGCAAGCATATATGGAGGTGAGTCCTGTCCATCAAATCACAATGAGCAAAAGTAAAGTGCTCTGTTCGACAATCCCATCCATCTCAGTTAACACATCTTGCGAGGACGATGAAGGATAACATTGATGCTTAAGAAACACACACCTTCGATATCACATAGAATATCGATAGTTCGACATGAATGATCTGATACTGTAAAAGATAACACATCAGGCAAACTGAAGAGTGATGGCATCCACACACACATAGAAGTACAGCTTACCGAAAGCTTAAAAATCTGATTCAATTCTCGAGCTCTGAGCATTGCCAGGCCGAACCTCCCCAGAGTTTGACTTGCTTGATCACCAAGATATGACGAAGTCAAACGTGCGTGGATCCTGAAGCCTGATAGCTTCCCTGGAAACGACCTTGACAACAACAGGCTCAGTTTTTTACATACAATATAAAGAACAAAAAACAACAGCTGACCAACCTTCATTACAATGATCCAACATTAATAAACATGCAATTCATTATATATTGGTCCATACAAAAGCTGCATCATTCATTAATTCACAATGGGGAGGGTGGAGTAGGAAAGGTAAAAGTATTGACAGGTGGAAGCTCATATGTTTTACTTTTGAGAGTTCAGAATCTACAAAATTCAGAGTCTTGTACATATATACGTCCAACTTGCACAATATACCGGGGGATGGAAAACAATAGTTTTGCCCATTTAACATAAAACACCTTAGGTCATCAACCACTCCTTGTCTCTGTTAAGTTCTGCACCTAAAATCATATAATACCTGGTTTCTATTGCGATTTCACATGAACTTCAATGATGTCGTCATCCTCCAAGCCAAGGCTATCGGGTGTTGCATTTGTGCTAATTTTATCTCCATCAAAAGAAAAGACCAGATTATCAAGCTTGACCTGTACCTTCTCAGCATACAGTTTAAAGAGCCTCTCAAACTTGTCATCCTGGACAAAACAGGGATACTGTGTGATCACACTGGTGCTTAGGTTCTAAAGAATAAATGACACATCAATGACTACAAAATCCAAGAATAAAAAACATGAAGCTGAATTCAGTGAATAATTGGTTTGAGAAAAATAACAATAGAATGGGAAAAAAGATTACAAGAAAACTAAAAACGTCTGTTAGCAAAAAGCAAGGTGTGATCCAAGTGGCAGATTATTCAAGAGAGGAGCTGCAGGACAAATATTGCACAAACGGCTTAGCTAATCAACACCAATTTGCTCACAGCTTAGACACCATTTGGATTTAAGCAATGGATGCAGAATGACTTGTTATGCACGCACAAAGGCAAGTGTATTTCATTGCTATTTGTCTGATCAAAAGAAGAGGGTTCTTTTACATTCAATCGACCATTTAAGAAAACAAACAAAGAGCACATACTCCTTTTGGCAAACCCCACAGTCCATAGAACGGAAAAAATGGCCATATGATCTAACAGCAAGGAATGAGCATCAGACATTTGGCTATTAAATTTTTTTTTTCCGGAACCTCCTCCTCTGAACTACATTAAACTTGGTAGAAATTCATCTACATGGTACTTCAACTCATCAAATAATATTGGAGGAGCAGGCCTTATCCAAAGTCATGATGGACCACCCTTTTCCCAGGATGTGAGCATGGGCATTTCAATTGAGTCTGGCTCCATCACACTAAACCATATTTTGGAAGGTGAAACTAAGATTCCTGAAAAATTTTCAAGAACATTATGCAGGCTTGTTTTTAATTTCTATTTTTTGGAAAACTGCACAGGGTCACTGTTTTAGATAGGCCAACTTAGGTGTAGACTGAGTGACCAACTCTGAATACTAGATTGTATTGTACATAGAATAATAATTTCCCATAGGAACTGTTGTACATATTTTACTTTTGACTTTTCTTTAAAATAATAGAAGGTGATTCGTTTAGTTTGTTTACACAAAAGAACCTTAGCACAAAGGTCATTCATTAACCATATATGAGCACAGATACATGCCAAATCAACAAATGTGACTGGAAGATATATGAGAAACAAACCATATGACTGAAAATTGCACTATATTCTAAGGTTAGCTTTGTTTCTTAACTACATAAAGACAAACTTTTATGCAAAACGACAACAAAAATGATTCCGACAAATAGTGACAACATAGGCTAGGAGAAATATTGGTCCTATTAAACCATAATTAGTTTTAGTTGTCATTCACTTTTAGAAAGAATCTTCCAAGTGATGGAAAGCACAATGAGTTCTCAACATATTATGGAAGGAAGCACAAGCTCCTAAATTTTGACAGAAGAAGGCATAAGCTAAATGCTTTCATCGATTTGATTTGAGAATGCAAAATAGCTTGATTAGTTAAATTTGTAATCTAGGTCTCTGAGTAAAAAAAGTTCCAAAGTTTTCAGTGGTCGGTAAATTTGTAATCTAGGTCTCTAGCTTGATTAGTTAAATTTGTAATCTAGGTTCAGTGGTCAGTAGGCGTTGGAAAAACAAAAGAATAGGAGCTCCTTTTTAATTTTGCAAATGTGTTGACAATATGTGAAGTATTCTAAAAATAGATCTGGAGATATTCCCTCCATCTTCTTCCTCTTCTTTTTCCTCCTTTTTGTTTTACTATTTCCTATATTTGTTTTGCTTTCTTCTCATTGAAACTTATCTGAGAGCTGCTGAAGACATAATAGGCAAGATACTCTACAAAGTCCACTAAAAGCCTACCCCAGTGTTAAAGCTTCCCTACTAAAACCTTTGGATGCCAGGCCTGGACTACTCATTCCAAGATCTGACCCAGCAAATAGCTCTCAGAACAATATAAACAGCAAACTCAATACTCAAAATCTTTATATATCGAACAGTATTTTAACTCACTGTCGAACTCAGCAGTTTTGTCTGTCAGTCTAATGTTCACAGTTGATTTATCAGAACTATAATGGAAGTGAAAATCCGAGCTCTAATAGCTGATTCTGTTCATATACAATATCCAAATATCACTTTTTAAGAAAATTTAGCATGTGCAACCTACAGCTTTCTTAATTACATATAACACTTCCATTTCTTCACTGCAGTACAGCATGGTAATAAATCTACCAAGTATAAACTGTCAAAAGGTGACAACCCCTAATTTGATAGCATAATTAGCCAAAAAATCATAAATTTATACCGTGTAAATGCGGAATTGCTTTTGTCCTTCTTTGTCCTGAATGGATATAACTATCTTTTGTCTTTGAACTTGTTGTTTTGGCAGTTGTTCAACAGATTTTCCTGAATTATTATGTTCCATTTTTGCAGCTTCCTCCACTTGCTGCAGCACTTCTTGGGCAGATTGAGCAAGTGATGCTAATTCCTGCTTATGTAATCTACAAATAAAAGTATAAAACAGTTCAACTACATTATCATGGAAAATCAGAAATAGTGGAGTGCAAGTCACATATAGGCATACAACTGTAGCATACAAGTTCTAGCAGCATCAAAACATCAGCAAGATAACATGGCACTACAACAGCATATGCACATTACAAATTCATTATCCAAGTATGGAAACCTACATATTAACCACAGCGTTTCAAGGAAAAACCAAAAGAGAGAGTGAAAGAGAACAAAAACTGTTAAAACCTCCATGAATTGGCAAGTCAAACAAGGATCATTTGCATGCAACAACATGATTGCAAATGACAGGAGTTAATAGTAGATCTTAACTGACAAATAGGTTTACTATGCAATAATCACTAATCCCTAAGGTCTCTGCATCATAGACAAAAAGGTTGGAAGAAATAGAGAGAATCAAATAGTAAGGTTTTTTACAACTGTAAGAATCTAAAATAATACTGTAGTTAAGACAAAATGAGTTGCAGCAGACCACTCAAAATTCATATTTCAGGAACTTGAGTTGCTAAGAAAAATGATGACACCAACAAGCTACATTAATAACATGTGCTGAATGTCTTATTGTCTCTCCTGAACTCATAGGATATAGATGAGTGTTCTTGTTCATGTCCATTAAACTTTCAACTTTATGCTTATCATTATAAGATTAGAAATAAAATAATGATCTGAGAGCTATTCATTGCACAGAGAAAAAGCTTTTGAGTCATATGAAACTGAGATGACTGAATACACGAAATATGAATTTTTGAAAAAAATATATGATCTAGGTTAAAACTAATAAATTGGAGGAAGCAAAATTTATAAACTGAAGATGACAAGAAGGTTCTTCAATACTAGAAACTTTCTTCTTAGCAACTCCCAACAATTCCAAGACATTTCCTGAAATTGTTGTAAGAAAACTGAAAATACCCTAGAACCCTTTACTTCATTATGAAGTGATCTAAGCACAATTTACATACAAAACCTTCCATCCAATATGTGTTCTCCTTTTTAATACTGAAACTCAGAACAGTCTATATGTAGCATGAAGGAAACAGGAGAGAAAAATGTGAAAAATAGGGGACAATTCATTCACATCATAAAACATCCATCTGCTATGTGCTCTCCTCGGACTGATCTCTCCTAAAAATTCCATGCTTTGTTGAATGCTAACATCACTAATCCTTGTGCAAAATCAACAAAAAACCCACAGTTCAAATATCACCTACTTCATTCGGAGTTTGCAAATGGTTGCTAAAGAATTGCCGAACTCAACCTTTTAGGAAAAACTACATATCCGAAGTGTAAAATAAGGATCGAATCAGACCGCAGTTCTAGTAGAGTGCTATCTTCTTGTAGTCCCAAGCCTGAACTTGGAACCCTAGGGGGCGGCAGAGGCAACCAATCCGCGTCTTCCTGCGCCTTCAAATCTTCTTCATCATCGTCTAAGACAACCATGGCTTCGCGACCGGTCCTTGCCTTAAGCTCCTACATTCCACCCAAAATAGTTCAAATCTATGCAAAAGTTCCCCCAAGAAGAATCCTCCAAAATAAAAGGATATTAAACAGCCTCAGAGTTCAAAGATGAGGAAGCAACTCACGGTGGGATCAGAGGCCCGCTTACGCTTGCCATTGGAGACGATCGGGGAGGAATCAAAGGCGTCATCTGCGGCAAAGTCCAGTAAATTTGAAAGAGGATGAAGAAGAACAGAAGAAACCCTAAAGACATGTGGATCCGAGAGAGAGAGAGAGAGCGAGGGAAGCGACCACTCACCTTCGAAGGAGAGGAAATCCACGGGCTGGACGCGGCCATAGTTGAAAAGGGGCTCCAGCTCCTCCTCCGCATCCTCGGCCACTTCCTGCAATCAAAACCCTAGAATTATTGAAAAGGATAACGGGAAGCAAGAGCGAGAAAGAGGGAGATTCCTCCTACGATGGAGAGGGTTTCCTTGGGAGCCATCGTCGGGCGCGGTGAGAGGAAGCTGCGAGATGTCGGCACTGTTCGTGTTCGCGACAGAAACAATGGTGGGAAGGGCGAATCCACGAGTGGTTTTTCGAAGGATGGAAACGGGTCGGATTATTTTATGCGTTAAGAATTGCTTACTGGGCTTCAAACTGATTCACCCATTCGTGTGGAAAAGTGAAGTCTTCGGATCGGATTCAATGACAAAGTGACTCTTCGGATCGGATTCAATGACAAAGTGACTCGAACCTATATATATATATATATATATATATATATATATGAAACGAAGCGAAGCGTAGCGATTGCCACTCTTCAGTGGCCGGAGAGAGCGAGCTGGCGATCAGGGCGAGAGGGTAGGCCCGACCATGCCGCGTTGCTCTCCCACGTCCCATCCTCCTCGCCGCTCCGCCACCCTCGCCACTGGCGTCGCATTTATATGGGGAGAGGGGGCTTTCGTGGATGGCCTCCACCTCTTCTTCCTGCGCCCTTCCTGCCGAGTCGTCAGACCTAACAAGGCGATCCGGAGGAGGAGGAAGAGGAGGAGTTGTTCGTTGGTATCGAGGTGCTTGTGATCTTTGGGCCTAGGTTCATCAGGGTCTGCTTAGAGGGGAGAGGAGGTCGCCATGGATCCTCAAAGGAAGGTCTTTTAATTTTTCCCTTTCTCTCCTTTTAGCTGTAAAGATCAATATTTATCCATTTGTTTGATAACTAATCGGTCTTCTTTGCTTAATTATATGCTGTCATTCGTTTTAGCGCTATCCAATTCTTTGTTCTCGAATGCCATTTTAAATGCATTTCCTTCGTCCGTTATAAGGAGATGCAAGGCTTTGGATTGAATTTTTTGAGCTTTCTTTTGATTTTTTTTCAGAATTTTTCCATACAAGAATGGGTTTTTCTTTTACAGCTTAACATGTTTTTAATCTCAAAATTGTACTCTTGTACCTGTTTATGAAGGTACTAAAGCCGGGCTGATTGAATTTTTTGAGCTCTCTTTGTCTTTGAAAATACATCTTTCAAGAACACGTCGTTTTTCTATTATGATTTGATTAAATTTTAAATTGTTAAACATTTATTGATCCCTTGCAAGGATCATTAGTTCTTATTGTCTTTCTCTCTATTTCGTGAGTTTGTTGGTTGAATTTCACAATTAAACTGCTCTCATCTCCTGGAATTTCTCTCACGCTTAATCTCGGTTTTCTGTCTGACACTTTCATCCTTCCAACATACTCTGTTCCATTTCTCTTATCAAAGTTAGCCTTTCAATCTATCTGATCCATTCAGGCCGTGCTTGAGAATGAATTCTTTACGGAGTATGGTGAAGCAAGCAGATACCATGTACAAGAGGTCATTGGCAAAGGAAGTTATGGGGTAGTTGGGGCTGCAATCGACACCCATACTGGAGAGAAGGTGGCAATCAAGAAGATCAATGATGTATTCGAGCATATTTCTGATGCCACTAGAATTCTAAGAGAAATCAAGCTGCTTAGGCTGCTCCGCCATCCTGACATTGTAGAAATCAAGCATATAATGCTTCCTCCATCTCGAAGGGAGTTTAAGGATATTTATGTTGTTTTTGAGTTGATGGAGTCAGACCTTCATCAGGTTATAAAGGCAAATGATGATCTGACACCTGAACACCATCAGTTCTTTTTATACCAACTACTTCGAGCTCTTAAGTATATCCATGCAGGTCAAAGACTATTGATGATTTCATATACTGTCACCCTACTTTTGTTTTGTAGGTCAATGAATATTCTGATGTCTTCTTCTTTTTCTTTGTTAATATGCAGCAAATGTGTTTCACCGAGATCTAAAACCCAAAAACATACTTGCCAATGCTGACTGCAAGCTGAAAATCTGTGATTTTGGTCTTGCCCGTGTAGCTTTTAATGATGCACCATCAGCTATATTTTGGACTGTATGTACTTTGTAGTTCAAGACTTTCAGGGTAGTAATGTGATCCAATAAATGTTTACTTGTTATGTTGGTAATCCTGTCTTTTTTTAACCCTCAGGACTATGTAGCAACAAGGTGGTATCGTGCTCCTGAATTATGTGGCTCATTTTTCTCTAAAGTAAGATTTAGGTTAAGTCTTGATATGAAAATTTTCAGATCAGTGGTTAATAATAAAGCTGATATTCAGAATAATGACTTATTAGTCTTTAATTTTTATTTGAGTAAACTTTCCATGGTTATTTCCACTCATGCTGAAGGCATTTTGGGCATACTATTCTAAAAATTTGTAGGTTTCTTCCTCATTTTCTTTTATCATTGCCTTTCGTATTGTTTTCAACAAAAGCTATGTATTAGTCATTTGTAAACCTTTAATGAAACTTAAGTATAGATCAATATTTTTTTTGAAATATCATCCTTTCGGAAGTTGGGTCATCAATGTCTTGCTATTTGTGACTAGGTGAATTGGTTTGATGAATATACTTAGTAATGAAGCTGGATATTGTTAATCTAGTGTTCAATAATATTTCAGCTTTAGTTTGGTATAATTTTATTTGAGATTGCAGCACCTTGTTTCTTAGAAGATTTGGACTGAGTGTTAGTATTTTACTTTTTAATACCTCGTAACAGTACCTCCTTGGTTCATAAAATTAGTTTACGACTAATAAATATTGCTTCTAGCCTTCTACGAATATTCAAATGAATTGTACTTTCTAGTTAATGATTATGGCCTATGACATTTTATATTTGCAGTATACACCCGCGATTGATATCTGGAGCATAGGATGCATATTTGCAGAAATGCTAACAGGGAAACCTGTGTTCCCAGGCAAGAATGTGGTGCATCAGTTGGATCTCATGACTGATCTGCTTGGCACACCTTCAGCTGAATCTATTGCCAGGGTTTGTCCTTTCTTTATCTTTGTGTTATCAGGCATGGATCAGATTTCTCAACGATCTTTGCTTGTGTTGTTTACCATATTTGACTTTATCTTACTTTTGTGTTAAAGATCCTACATTCTTGGCAAAAGAATTAAAATGAAAATGAAAATGCTTCATCGACAAATTGGCTTGCAAAGAACTCTTTATTCATCTACTGGACTAAGTTGGAAAATGAATTATTCTTAGCATTTGTATTTCTTTACTGATAACAGTGATAAACTTAAAGATATGGTGCATGTACATACTGTATGCCCATCTTGTTTTACATCGTATTCTCTAATTTTCTTGAGCAGGTTGATAAAGAGTTCTTATAGTCCATTATGAAAGCATGTATATGTCCTTTTAATTGAAGTAACAAGCTGCTTAATAAATATACTGCTGAAGCTAAGTTAGAGTAGCACAGGCATGAAATCCTAATAAACTAAATGTTTAGCCTGCTTCATGATAATGGTTTAAGCTCAACAAATCTTCCTTGAATTTGAACTGTGTGTACCAGCTGGATGATTCTCTAATTCAATGCCTGAGGCATCTACACATATTGTTGTGATCTGTTTAGTTGAATACTATACAAATAAGTCAATTGCTAGAGTCCCTGTCAATCTGAACTCTCGGAAACACATTTTCCATTCATTTTAACCATTGATTGATCTTGGGGCCCCGAACAGGTGCATCAATTTCTGCGAATTGATCTAGAGTTATTATTATTTTATTAAGAACTCTAATGGAAGGTGCACAATGTTTTGTAGAAAAATAATACTCTCGGAAACACAATCT